CATCATCAGATGGTTCTTGTGTGATACCTGGCCATCATTTGGGACTGAACCAACTGATATTAACTTGCAGTGACAAGGGGTTGGCTTGCTTTCTAATTACTGAGAGTTCAGCTGGTGTCTTGGCTTTCCATGCCTTTTTACACCTCCCTTTCTTCATGTGTTCAATACTTTTCCCCTGTGCCATTCCACATTATTACAAATACAGTAACTTCATTTCTGGACATTTATGGTTTGATTTCTTTGTATGTTTGGATCACTTGGGTTGTTACCAACATCTGGTGAAAATTTCATGTCATTAGCGCCTCTAGTAATGTATTTACTGAGAAAAATGGTGAGGTGTTCAATACTTATTTTACCCGCTGTATAATAATGTACATATTGCATATTAGCGATGGTAGTGTAGGTGAATTGTCCAAGTGACTGATAACATCATGACGTGTTATACAGTCTAACTGCAGTTGGAATCAATGACCTATGGAAACGCTCCGTCCTGCAGTGAGGATGGTTAAGTCTCTGACTGAAGGAGCTGCTCAGCCCCCCCCCCCCCCACTTCATGCAGAGGGTGGTGGGGGTTGTTCATGATGGCTGTCAGTTTTGCTAACATCCTCTTGTCTCCCACCACAACCACAGGCTCCAGATGACATCCCAGCATAGAGCTTGACCTCCATATCAGATTGTCCAGCCTATTCCTGTCCCTTTTGGTACATCCAGCTCCCCTGCAGACCACTCGAAAGGGCAGATGCTACCACCGTGTCACTTAAACTTTTTACAAATATTTTTCTAAGTTCTACCAAACTCATCAGTTCCTCTGTGTTTACAGTCATTTATTAAAGACGTGTAAAGGTGGAAAAATCTGTCAGCCTCATGCGCCGCTGCAGCACACGTGCGTACACACCAACACCCACACACCTTTGAGTGTGGCAAACTCATTTTTACACTCCACTACTTATTTAGACAGTTTTCTCACTCATTCTTCATTTAATTTATATTTTTCCTGCATCTAAAAATCATTTGTGATCCCACAGAGAGGACAGTCTGAGGAGAATCTCACACGCTGGACACATTTACATCTATTTTACATATTTAAATAGAGCTGTGTCAGGGGAGGTGTCTCACGTGCGCTAAGTTCCATATTCATTGGGATGTATAAAGGAAAGGTGCGCAGGAACCGGCGTGCGCACGGTTTTATACATCTGAATTTTTTGGTGTGACGCACTTTTCTAAATTTGTCCATACGTCAACTTTTAGTGTGAAAGCTGCACACTACTTTATGCATGAGGCCCCTGGACTCTATAGCTCTGGCCAAGTTCAAACACCCTAAACCCAAAGCTGAGCCTTGGCTGAAAAATCCTTCTTGGAGAAGTCTGTTCATGCTTTTATCAGTTCAAGACTTGACTATTGTAATGCTCTGTATGTTGGTGTACCTCAGTCATCACTGGGTCGACTCCAGCTTGTTCAAAATGTAGCAGCTCGCCTTTTAACCAATACTCCCAGACGGGACCACATCACACCTGTTTTATCCTCATTACATTGGCTTCCTGTCCATTTTAGAATAGATTTTAAACTTTTATTGATGGTTTTTAAAGCTCTGAATGGCCTTGCTCAGCCTTGAATGGCCTTGAAAGCAAAATCCAAATATGCACTAAAATTAGAAAAGCAAATACAATCAAATGATCCTAAATCAATTTGGCAAAAACTAAAGAGCATGACCAATTATAATAAAAGGCCTCGCCCTCTACCAGACATTGATAATAATTTACCAGACACACTAAATAACTTTTATGGCAGGTTTGAAGAGCACCCTCCCCTCTCCGTTTCCCCTCCAGTCCCCTCACCATCATCTCAATTTCTCATTTAGGAAGTAGAGGTGAAAGCCTCTTTCAGTAAAAATAAAAAGAGGAAAGCAGCAGGGCCTGATGGTGTCACCCCAGCTGTCCTGAAACATTGTGCAGCTCAGCTAGCCCCGGTCTTTACCTTCATCTTCAACAATTCTCTCAGTCAGTGCACAGTCCCCAAATGCTTTAAGAATTCTGGTATTATCCCAGTACCTAAAACTAACAAAATATCCTGTCTTAATGATTACAGACCAATTGCTGTTACATCTGTAATCATGAAATCTTTTGAACGCATTGTACTCTCACACCTGAAAGAAGTCACTTCCTCCATGATGGACAGCTACCAGTTCGCATACCGGACCAACAGATCTGTTGAATATGCAGTTAACCTGGCACTTCACAACATCCTGCAACACCTGGAATCTCCTAGAACCTATGCCCGGATACTGTTTATTGACTTTAGCTCTGCTTTCAATACTATAAACCCAGTCAACCTCTTCAATAAACTTATGGTCATGGACATTGGGCCTCATGCAAGGACATGTTCGTATTCTTATCCTAAATTTCTCTTACTTTTGTTCGTACGAAGGGTTCGTACGAACATGTCACGTCAGATTCAACAAACTCTTCTATCTTCAGGAAAAGTGCGTAAACAAGCTGCATAATTTCCACCAGTTCGTATCCAGCTGCTTGTGCACGTGAGAGGTTATTTACATAATTACTGCCCCAAAAACACCATATAAGGCTATGTTTCCTGCCTCAGATATCAGGAAGTGTCCATT